TAGCTGCAAAAGCTCTTATTCAATTCTATGAGGACCTAACTTCTACACCAGAGACTAGAGCTCTTATCGAGAGATTAGGAACGACGTACTCGTTAGCAAGCTCCGTCACATCCTTTGTCGCGATCGATGATGATGATCAGACCGACACGAAAGCCGATAATACTGCTGAGGATGCATTAGCGGATTCAGAAAAACACGGATATAGGGAATATCGTCGAACGTCCCCCCTCAGTCGTTTGCGTTCTCGCTCTCCCATCGTACCTAGATTTCGACGCAGTCGCTCCCGATCCCCAAGGAGTATATCTTCCTGCGCATCGCGAAGTCGATCTCCGGTCCACAGAGCTCGGGTTGATCGAAGAGGTTGTATTTCGAGCCCGTCTCGGAATCAAAACCCGCCTACGCCACCCTGGCGCACTTACTCACCTTCTCCTCGCCGTCGGAGAGCTAGAATTGGATCTTCTAGATCCCCAATAAGATTGGATTCACCTTTAAGGAGGGGCTCCCGATCCCCGGAATACGTACATAGATATCGCAACCGCTCTCCAGTAAACTGGGAACGTCGGAGTCGCTCCCGTTCTCCCCGTTATAGGAGTAGACGGAGTTCTCGATCCCCTATACTAGTTGAACATTCACGGGTCCCCTATACTCCACGGGGGGCTCGCGGAGAACTCTCCCCCATCTTGGTGGCCCCTGGTTCGAGGAGACACTCATATTCTCCACGACGTTCGACCAGATCCCAGCCTCGTTCTCCAGTCAGGTACACCTTGAACTCTCGTTCTAGGAGTCGTTCTCCGGTCAGGATCGTCTGTGAATCCCGTAGGAGTCGTTCACCTGCCAGGAGCATCACTCGTCGAAGTAGGAGCCCTCTTCCGATCATAATCGCTAGTGGGACCCGTAGGAGGCGTTCTCCAATCATGATTCCCAGTGAATCCGGTAGGGGGCGTTCTCCGATCATAATCCCAAATGGACCCAATAGGAGTCGGTCTCCATCATATTCATACTCTCCCATAACCAGGCGGTCCCGGTCCCGATCTCGCTCTCCTGGGTTGTCTCCACAGTGGCGGGAGATTCAAATTACATCTCCTCTTGCCCCCCATCGAGAGCATTCTCAACCTGTGACCGCATCTTATGGGGTTTCCTCTTCCTTGGCGGATCATCGAGCGACTGGGTCTGCTTCACCTGAACGTGGAACCGCTGGTTCACCAGTTAGTTCCATATGTTCTTCTGCCAGTCCTAGGTATTCCCCTGTAAGCCCCAGATATTCCCCAACAAGTCCTCAGTATACTCCCGCGAGCCCTAGATATTCTCCAACGAGTCCACGGTATTCTCCCACAAGCCCTAGATACTCCCCAATGAGCCCTCAATATTCTCCTGCCAGCCCTAGGTATTCTCCAACGAGTCCTCGATATTCTCCTGCAAGCCCTCGGTATTCTCCAACTAGCCCGAATTATTCTCCTGCAAGCCCTAGGTACACTTCATCGTTTGTAGACCGTAGCTCATCATTGGGTGGGCGTTATAGCCCTGGCGACCCTAGCTACCCTATGGGGAGTATTCACCGACGATCTTTATCGCCACAAACATTCGTGGTACCCCGTGAGATAACTGTAGAAGCACTTGCTCGTGCGCAAAGATTTGACGGCAGTTTCCCTTTGGTAATCGACCATATAGCAATGCTCTTCAAGACACCTTCCGCTCACTTGGCCATTCCCACCATTCCAGCTGCTCTTATGCGTTTGACGGGAGATGAAATGATAAAGGAGACGATCTGGGCAACCATGCTAACATTGGCCTGTATGGAGAAGCGCCTAGCCGCACAGAAGGATGTGTGGGAGTTTATAGCAGACAAGGCAAGGGAATATGTGCACGAGGAGCTACGACATCTGTATGGACCAGCATCAGGTGATCAAACTAGCGTGAACTCGCTGGTAAAGGAATTAAATGATGCTGCTGCCGAAGCTATTGGTGTGGGCGGGGAACAATGAGTATCTGATACCCAAAGAATCACTGAGGAGGTTATATTGACATGAGATTGATGGCACAAAAGTGTCTAAAGTTGTATTCGATGCCTCCTTTGATTATATACTTGGACAAGCAAATGCACTACATATTATGGAAATAGATCACATATAAAACCGTAAATAAAAATCGTCAATGCGTCCAGAGGTAAGAGTCCATTTTATGGCGCTTGTTTAGTAAGAAGGTGGCTGTTTGAACGGAGGAGCGGGTGGGGATGATGTAGTATAGCCAGTGGGAGGTCCAGTTGGAGGCGCATAGACCGCATATGGATTGTTACTCGCGTACGGGGTGTATGTATTGGGAGGAGAATACGTGTTAGCTGGATAGACCATGATAGCCACGATCTCAGTATCATTCCCTGTACCTGATGTTGGTCGTGATGTGAGAGCGACAACACCATCGCCGACAGCATAGGCTTGCAAGTCATTTTGTCTACCAGTAGCACCCGTACCAATATTGTATGGAGTGGTGGCGGCCTTCTCTGCTGGAGTACCAGTGACGATTGCGGCGGCACCAGTAGAGGGAGTCCAGCCAACTGCCGTGTTCGTGTTCTTGTTTGCATTTGCATTCGTGTTGGTGGCTGGGCTCCATGCCTTGGGTGGGTTTGCTTTAACAGCCTTCTGAACTTTCTTTTGCTTCGACTTGTGTGTTATGAAGGCGCAAATGACGAATAAGGCAACTAAAAAAGATGAATGTCAGTCATGAAGTGCCTTCTTTTGAAAGGATTGTCGTCGCTATCGCCACATGATATAAAAAAGACTCACTACACCCGACGACGACTCCAACGATAACACCAACATTGGTTTGACTACATGAGGTGACATATCCTTGGTCATCGTAGCATGTTCCGCTACTGCCTCCACCACCCCCTCTACCCTTAGCTGCGACGCCGCTAACATTGGTTGCAAGGGAGAGCAGTGACCATGTAATGGCAAGACGGTTGAAAGAGGTGATCGCCATTGTTCAAGCTAGTTGGAGGTGAGAATCCAACTGGCTCTTCCATGTCCATTATATACTGTGAAGCTCCCCTTCTCATCTTACACACCGTGACTTGGATGGGCCTACCGTCCGCCATCAGATACCTGTGCCGCCGTGTCGTCGAAATTCGCACGTGAGGACACGGAAAACATTTTGTCATATCCTTTAGCAAATCGGAACTCGAAAGCAGTGAAAGGAACGAATAGGAATGTCAAAAATGGCAAGGAGACAGTCAGGGACCCATTGAGAGGTGGAGAGGGCTATGGGTGAGTGAATGGTGAGAAGGAGAAGCCCGTATGGATCAGTGGTCGGATATGAATACCCAGGTCGGGAAGAAGTGCTAAGAAGGCCGAGCAAAGGGGCAAGGCAGTTGCCCTTGGCTTCCGCGGGACCCGTTCTAGCTAGTCTTTTCAGTGTTTTTCCAACGAACTTGGGATACTCTTTGACACTCTTGATAAATAATCTGCGATATTAATTGATCATCTCTTTAGTATGCTATGTAGTATTCCTACTCACTCGCATGAAAAAGCCTTTTATCACCACGGCCCCCATATTTGGAAGATGCTGACTCTCCTCTTTGCGCGATTTCCGGTCGAATAGAGCAGTCTCATCCGTGGAGTCATTGGCGGACGCCACATCAAAGGGATAACGGCTTGGGAAGCTGTGACCGTCTTCTGCGTTCGTTCGTATGGCCCAGATGTCAACCTTGGGCGACATGGACTCTGTTCCATACTTTTCCGGTTGATTTTACTTGCTTTATAGGCGCTGGAAAGAAGAAGGAAGGGGCAGGCAACAGGACATAATGAACCCCATTATGCCTATACGGCGCCATGTGGTGCCCCAGGCATTTAACAGCCGAGGGTTGTGCACTTTTCTCGTGGAGAATAGTAGAGACGGTCGCTTGCTTGAGCGTTGTTTGTAGGCGCCCTTCATTGTAGGCTCGTCGCATATGGAATTGACCTTCTCTTTGCCATCGCTATCGTTTCCAATCTTGATGAACAGTCGGAATGGGGATGGAATGTCGAGAGACGGCGTTTCATTGATCAACCTGCAACGCAAGAGGAAGATTTTGGTGATATCCCAGATGTCCTTGTGAAATGTGACAATAGAGAGATGAGAGTTGTTTGTCTCGAGTGTGCTGCAGGAACGGGGAGGCTCTAAGAATGGTGGCAAGTGCAAGTTTGACGAGGTGCCAAGCTCATCCACGACGAAATTTTCGAGATCTATTCTGATTGTTGACTAGTAAATGCATAGGTACCCTATGTACTACGAATAGTTGGGGTCGAGTTTCTTTGAATTCCGATTTCGTGAAAGGTTTGCCTTGTATAGAGCAGCTCCGATCACTAATTAACTCTATTGGTACATCTAAGCTAAGAAGGTCATAAGATTTGACGGAATTAATAAGGGAGAGGGGGACTTCTAGGGCGATTTGTTGGTACACCTCCCATGAGCGGAGTATATGAACCGCGGGAGGAAGTAATACCAGGAGGAGAATATAAAAGAGGATAGGCATTGTTATTTCGGATCGTATCAATATTATTGTTGATATTTGAAGGTGCCGGAGCGTTGGCATTTGCACGGCGATTGGCATGAGCCTCGGCATTAGCGTATCCTCGTTCAATACCCTTCGCCACAAGCTCTTGTATAGTGATCCCTCTTCTCTCCATTATAAATCTACAGGCGCATGATCCTACAATTATGAGACCTAAAGGGTAACACCAGGTGTTGCTAAATATCAGCCGGTTCCGGAGTCAACTACAGACTCACCCAACAAAGTGAAGATTATAACTGCTGGAACTACCTTGAGTGGTGAGCACTTGACTTCGCGTCCTTCCTCATAGCATTTCTGGCCGCTGGCTCCCGTTTCGCTACCCGTAGTCGCCGTCGAGGTAGATGTAGGAGCTGCACCAACACTGTTGGTCCAAAAGAGTAGCAGCAACAGTATCAAGTCAAGGAGTTGTAGGTGTTTCGAAGTCATGATCCAGGCTTGAAAGGCAGAGGTAAATCTGCCTCATTGGCCCCTTTTATCCTTGTGTACTGATGGGTCGCGACTTGGGGGATCGGCGGGCCATTAACCGAGAGTATTACCCGTATTGGTAGGTTCACACAGGGATTAGGATAGGACGCCTTCGTTGACAGATGGAAGGTAAGGGCGGTGAAGCCGAGGGAAAGCAGATGCAAAGACTGAAGACTCGGTAAAGCACAGAGATAGCCATGCTTGATAGATGAAATCGAGAGACTATGCAATCCCGTGCTCGGAGAGGGGAAAACTGAAGGCAAGCCGATGAAGGACCGAGGTGGTTATCGAACGTGCGTCCGTTTTAGTGATCATACTAGTCGTTTCTCTGGAACTTTTGTAGTTAAAATTCTTGATAACCTACTGAGCATAAGTGCTTTCTCTTGAGCCTAGAGTATTACTTACAGGCTGATATCTACTTCATCAGAGGAATCATACTGCTATATTGTATCGAGTATCCCTATACATTCGAATTCGGTGTCATCAGGCCTATTCAAGGCATTGAGCGAGAGTTGAGGCCGCTATTAATGGCCATTCAAGTAACCCGTAATACAAGAGGCCAGGTGCAATCCGATATATTTCTTCAGTTGAATGGAATATATAGAGCCAAATTGACACCAAGCTCCACAGAGATCGTAGTAAAGTCGCCTAATAAGAGACATTATGATCTGAGCTCTTTCACTCTTGGGTCATTTCACATATGTGCGCTGAGGATAGGGGATGATGCTTCGTCACAATGGATTGCCATAGCTTTGTGGTAAGCGGGAAAGGTCCAACAATGAGGGTAACATGAGGTGGGAGTGGAAAAAGTTCAGGCGGCGCCAACTTTGGAGTTTGGCCGATGCCTCCTGAGTGATCCAAGATCAAGAGCCTTATATTACATTTGAGAAATAAATACTATTACATGAAAGTAGGTCATATGTGCAGGTATAAACCTTCAATTCATCAATAAGCCTAAGCAGGGAAATTCACGATATAAAACTCGATCACTGGCTAGAATGTGCCTTTTCTGGAGGAACTGGAAAGGAAGATGGTGTGTATGCTGGAGGGGAAGAGATTGGGTAGGGATCATATAAGCCTGAAGGGGTTGGAGCGTCAGAAGGATAAACCATTATGGTAACGAGCTGAGGACCTTGGTTCGCGGCATCTGGTCTTGCATTGGTATTGTCTAGCGGTGTGACTGAAACGATGTTTGCGGTGATGGGATATGCCGCCGGGTCCCCTTGTCCAAACATAACTTGATACGGAAGAACCACCTGGTTCGTTGGGACACTAGTATCTGGATGAATACCCGTGTTTTCCCCTGTTGCAGTGGTAGTAATGCCAACACCACTAGGAGGAGCTGTATAGTGATTTGTAGAAGGTTTTGAAGCTTCTAGACCTCTTCGCCTTGCCGCTTGTTTCCTGTTGTTCCGCCGTTTCCATCCTATGAGCCCACATATTACTAGCAGGAGGACTGTAAAAGCGGGAGAGGTTTTAGATGAAATTTAACAATCCGCCAACTAAGATCGCTGCTGACAGGGAGAAAAACTCACCAACTACACAAACACTTCCGATAATGACGCCAACGTTGGCTTGTGTACATTCGACCACGTACCCGGACGAGTCGTAGCACCTTCCACTTCCAAATTCACTCCTATTTGTAGGCCTTGCAATGGCCCTACTAGCTCTACTCAACAGAAATAGAGCTAGCCATGTAAGGGTCATAGGTAAAGGTAGCACCATGGGCATTACTCAAAGCTTGGAGCAACGGTATATGTACTTTGAGAGCCTTCTTATATATGGACATCTTTTAACCTTGGCCTAGGGGGTTCCACCATTAGGTCGTTTCGTGCTGTGTAAGGGACTTCGTAGGCCAACGTGGTAAGAATAACCACCGGCAATATCGGCTGAGTAATAGAACTTGCCAACAGTATCAAGAGGCAGTTAGACGGTACTGCCGCAGGCTAATAGGCTAGCGAGTGAATATAGAATGCGAGCAACATGGGGTTGCACTGGCCTGTTATGAATTCGTGGCAGAAAAGAAGGGCGAGTATTCTTGGCTCAGCACGGGTCCCGATGGTGACCATTGATATCTTCCCATTTATACGCTTCATCTCGATGAGTCCAAGTCTCAAAGGAACCCTTACGGGTGGTCGTGGCAGTATATCAGCATTATGAGAAGATTACAAGACTCCCATTATTTGTACATTTCCTGGGTCGGAGGATCGAATGGCGCATAACAAACGAAATTTCCTAGAAATAAAATATCGAATTGGTTTTTTTTATCTTCCTTGAGCCTAGTTTGTACGAGCTTATCTGGATCCGTGCTTCCTCTTCTACTCTTGTACACCAGATGGTTGAGTGTCATATTCTTTTCCGGAAATCAATTGAGGTGACAACTTGTGTACTAGTTTCATGGACGGATTCCGGAAATGAAACCGTCACTCCTTTGAATCATCACTGAATAGAGGAGACGGGAGCCCCAAGCGTCGAAATTTGGAGTTGTCCAGGTACCAAATGGCGAGTTACCAGAAGAATGGAAAGGTGCACAATCACTTCCTCTAATTCTGCCATGGATTCAGGCGGGTTCGAAAGTCAAACTTCGGCGCATGAATCGAGCAACGCAAAGTCATCTACGGAAAAGGTATAAAGGTCGAGAAATTTGCGATTTAAGATACTCCTAGATGTATTCATTGTAAAGGAAACGTGAAGACAAGCTCGGGTGAGATGGCGAAGGGGTCAAATTGGCACGGTGACGCCGACCACCACCACACTGACTCAAATGTCACGAAATTAGGTTTCTAGTCGAAAAGGATATTGTGTGATTCCCTAAATTAAAGTCAGCAAAACAGCTCATAAAGGTTGCATCTTAAACTTTCTGAGTAGGGCGATATCCGTACGGAAGGAGTTGCCAGGTAAAACATTTATCCATGATTTGGGTTTAAGGTACATCGTTGCATTACTTTCAACTATTCAATAGACGGTAGTGATGAAAATGACACCTGTTGAATGAAGCCGTCCATTGTCTGGGAGAATATTTCTGCTCAGGAGGATAATAATGTATGAGTAAAGTACGTAGCAGGCCTGAAGAATAGAGGAGATGTTTACCAAAAGTTGTGTATCCGAGGAATTAGTTGGTGCACTCATCGACCAAGGCCGATTGTCCTCCCGGTAGGCAGAGGTGTTGTGGGTATATACATTCTTTAGTTATGCCACATCCAGCTCTACGGCATTTTAACTAGGAACAAGCGTCTTGTCCCCGGATACTCCTAAAGTATTGATATGGGTAGAAGATGAAGTTGTCCCCGACCACACTTTTTGCGTTGAACTTGTCACCTTTGCTTTAGGAGTCTTTTATCTTTTCGAATAAGCGCAGCAGAGAGCTATCAGAAGTAAGAGCCCGACCACTTTCGCCAAAGGTCAGCATCATAAGTCGTGAATAACTGGAGACTAGAAATGAAACTCAACGTACAAACTCCAACTGATAAGCTGATAGTGACTCCAACATTGTCGTCTTTTGGGCAATTGTAGCAAGATGAGTAGCTCTCATCGCCCCTATAGCCACTACCAGCGGGCCTTGCAACGACCCCGACGAGGCCACTGATGAAGAACACCCACATGATAGCAAGATGAGATAAATAAATGGAAGAATCGGTGTTAAAAGCGTTGGAAGTGGCGGTTCAGAATACTGTCTAACCCCCCTTCACACTTCATGACCGCTTTTGACCGTGTGGGATGGTTGGAGTTGACCTTCTTCCCTCAAATAATAGCACATACACCATTTGAGCCCCATAGACGACCGAGGTTTTCTGAATTCTGTACCAACAGGCCAAGTGACGAGAAACTGGGCCTCATGATTGAAGACGGGCAGAGTCGGTTAGGATACCTGGCAAAGGAAACATAAATGGCGCTCAAGGTTTTTATGCAAATAAAAAAGGGGGACTCGGATGCGAAAATGTCAACAAGGGTCGAAGGAAGTCAGATAGGTGGAGGTGGAAGTGGTAACTGAGAAAAATTTGCGGATTTTATTCGTATATAGGCCCCAG